AGGATTTCCGTGACGGGCTGGGGACATCCGTCCTGGACCGTAGTCCCCACAGCAGGCACTCTGAGTGAGTGTGCGCAGGGGTCTTTGCAGCCCAGAACTGATCTGGGGGAGATCGGTATGAAATGTCTGTGGAGACCTGTGGCGGCCCACGTTTGAGGGGCAGGGGTTGGATGAGGGGCCTTAAGTAATGAGGAGCAGCAGAAACATAATTTTTGAAATGTTTCAGTGTCCTTTATCACTTTTTTTTTTTTTTGGAGAGGTTTTCGCTATAGGACGTGTGCGCTCACCAGAAAGACAGAGAGAGACAGAGAGACAGAAAGCGAGAAATCACCCCCCAGGGGGGATGGTCATGCCGTAATCCCTTCTCCTCCGTTCTCCTCTCGGGATCTTGGGCACGCACGCACACGTGCCCGGCATGAGTTTTAAGCCACCGGGTCCGGGACGTGAACCGCGGTCGACTACGTGGGAGTCCAGCAACACAGCCATTACGCTAACTGCTGGTTCCCATCATTTTTTTTTAAGCTTGCTTATTTTATTCATGATAAAGAGCACGTGTCACACGAGAGCAAGCAAGGGAGAAGCCCTCAGCAGGGGCTCGCCACGCTGTGTCCCGTTCCCCAGCCCTCCAGCTCATCAGGATCTTGGGCACCCGCACAGCCCCTGTGTGACCCACGGATCTGAACGCGTGGTAGGCTGCGTGGCTTCAGGCACTGCGGTTCACAGCACTGCCGCCTGCACCGCCAGGCCGGGCCGGTCTCCATGCGTTTGAAGAGCTTGCTCTGGAGTTGACCCTCTGCGCTGCCAGAGCCCACTGCTGCCTTGGGAGGGTTACGGTGGGCCTAGGACAGTATTCAGCCCTGGCTCCCCAAGTAAGACCCTGGAACCTTGGTGAGATGATGACACGCACGGAGAAAGAAAATTGGTTTAAAAATTTCCAGACTCCATTCTACATCAAGAGCCACACCAGGCCAGCTCAGACATAGTTTTGTTTCTTTTCTTTCCTTTTTTTTTGCTCTAGGCCACATGTGCTCACCAGAGAAACAGACAGAAAGCAAGAAATCACCTCCCAGGGGTATAGCCATGCCTCAATCCCTTCTCCTCCATTCTTTTCTTGGGATTTTGGGCATGCATGCACACATGCCTGGCAAGAGTTGCACACCTTGGGTCTGGTACTCAAACTGCGGTTGGCCAAGTAGTTCCTTAACCACTACGCCACCTGCTGGCCTGCTCAGACATGGCTTTGTCCTAAGAGAGGTGGGGGAAGTTCCCTGCTGTTGGGAGAAGGAGGCCCTCTAGGAGGGGGACAAAGAGGTCCAGAGGGGGTGAGGCCGAGGTGAGCTGCTGTTGTGGGTGAGCTTACCCCCAGGCAGCGAGTGCGAATGCGGGGAAGGGCCAGGAGACAGCCCACTTCTGGGGGTCCGCTGCAGGAGCAGAGATGCGGTGTGAGGAGTAGAAACCCCCTTCTCCTTAGGGCCTCCAGGGCCTGCATGTGGTTTGGAAGGGCCCAGAAGCTCTTCAGCTGATGGTAGCTGAGGGCTTGGCCCACAAGCCCCAGCAGGGTCCCGGCAGTGGGAACGTCGGCTCCTGTGCTCTCCCACGCGGGCAGCAGGGCGTGGACCTCCTGGTGTTCACACACGCTCGGTGCCAGCCCGCTGCTTTTCCACACGGGCTTTTCCTGCTCACAGTCCCCACCTGCCGGGTCGCACCAGGGCCCTGCGGAGCGCTACGTCCCTCTGGTCTCCAGTGCCGCAAAACACAACCACGCTGAGATCACAGGGCTCCGAGGTAACCTCAGACTCTCCGAGTCCCCGCTACGATCTAGACTTCGGGCCAGGTCTTTGTGGGGAGGACCAAGACCGTGCCCAGTTATTTAGGGCCCCAGCACGTAGGAGCCCTCCGAGCCCAGCACACGTCTCCTGGGCGTTTCTTACACACTTGAGTTTGGAAGTGCGACGAGCACCCATAGGTTCTTCCCGAATGGGCAGCACCCCGAATGCCCACAGTGATGGCTGGGGAAGAAGGGCCACCCCGAGGGCCTAGCCCGTGTGGCAAAAGGTGCACATTTACTCGTTCCATCTTTGTCGGCACAGCACAAGCTCCGTCAGCTTCCCCACTGTGCAGGCGAGGAGACCGAGGCACAGAGGCATTTAATAAGTTGCCGAGGGCACAGCAGGGAAGACCCTGGCCCATCCCAGACAGCGACACCCCAGGGCTTCCCCGGGAACGTGACCTCACACTGCTACTGCGGGGCTCTCGCAGATCCCGAGTGCCCAGTGAGGGGTTCTCCTCTCTTTCTTTTTGCCAGAAGGAGTGTGTGCTTTCCAGACAGAGACAAAGAGAGAGAGGGAGAGGGAGAAAGCACCCCTAGTGGGTCATACCACAATCCCTTCTCTTCCATTTCTGTGTCCTTGCGCGATTTGGGGCCCGCACACACGCCTGGCGTGTTTCTCAAGGCACCGGGTCCAGGACTTGAACCATGGAGTTGGCCAGGTGAGATCGGCTCCCTTAACCACTCGTCTGGCATAGTAAGGATTTCATTTGTAAAGACCCACCACCCTTCCCACAGCCGTACTATGACTGTAAAGTCCCGGTCCGTGGGTCTTCCTCTGGACGTCGGCCATAAGACGCTTCGGATTCGTTTCTTTGTTCCAGGCCTTCTTGATAGTTTTGCTCCCCCGTCCCTCTTCCCCTTCAG